CCCTAAACCCTAAACCCCAGTACCACTTCTGATGAACTCTTTAGCCAGCCTGAACCCTGAACCTGAGTCTTTTGCCCGATGGTCTCCAAACTTAACAACCCTCAACCCTAAGTCTACACCCACAACATGCTAGGGAACACCGCGTGGAACGCAAACTTCCACAGCGCCATACTAAACTCTACACCATAGAGCTGAACTGGTTCAAAGCAACCGAGAAAACTTTGGGGGGGGGGGGGGTGCTAGACCGGCTAAGTTATACAAGGTTGTTATAAAGCGTGTCACTGCACAGGATCTACAATGTCAAAGAAGCCTACAGCCTAACTATTCCGCTTGCACACCCTATGGAAATCTTGAGTAGGGGCCGCGGTATACCAAAATCCCAAGCTGTAGAGACCAAGATCCTAAAGCCCCTCTGTTTCCATGGGCTTCGGGTTTAGCGCAGCATTCCCCTCACACTGCCGGCAGGGGCACCCCGAGGTAGAGGCAAACCATGAATCCTAAGGTCGCCAGCTCGTGGAAAAAGGGCTCCAGGCGCACCTTGAACAAGAGCTCTTCACTGGAGCTTTCCGTGGCTTGAGGTGTAGGGTTTACGGCTGTGGGGTCTGAGGGCTTAATTAGGCCAATTAGGCTTTAGGCTTTTTCGGGTTTAGGCATCCAAGGCTTATATGGTTTTAGACCTCCGTGGTGTACGTACCGTAGGGCTTTTGGTTTGGATGCCAGATAAGGTTTAACACTTCACTGAACCCCCTAACCCAGAGACCCACTGACCCGTGGCACTACAACCTATCCCCCAAACCCAAAGCATCTTTCGACGCGAAGATGGAGAAGTGAGGCGACCAACGCATGAATCAGATGCCTCATCTTCGGATAGCTCAAAATGCTGACTCTCAAATTCCGGATATGAGAAATTATCACACACGTCTGCATATGTATATGCATGAATTAAATTAATGCATACAATCATATGTACAACGTGTACATGTAATACATCCATCCATCCATCCATCCATCCATCCATACATACATACATATATATATATAATTCTTAGAGAGGGAGTGAGAGTTCTATAAAGGAATATATGTGTGTGTGTGTATATACAT